TTCAAAATAGGAGATTCCGTAGTTCCGTATTCCGTTGAACCACCACACCAAGAATAGTTCTATCTTCCTGGTATTCCAGATTTCCGGGGATCGAAATATTAATCCGCAAGCGTGAATATACTAGTCCAGTGTTTGTAGCTGAAATGTTTGTTCACGTTTAGTGTTAGCAGCGATCAAATATAGCCAACAGGCGGTCACAACAACAGTCACTCAGCAGAAGTCTCAAAGTCACGTTGGAGCCAACAAGCGGGCGGTAGCGGTTGTATTTCAGTGAAACAAACTTTTGTACAGCGATGTGACTGATAATTATGGGGAAAAAGAAGATGATACTGAGCATGAAAAAGAGCAGTTTACAAGTGCTACACCACCCATGAGTCACAACTGTATTCCGTATTGCATTTGAGTGAATAGTCCTCCCTATATTGCTATTATCCTGTTAAGTTCGCCCCCAAGCGTAAATTTGTTTCGACCCTAGACATTCTGAAACCAGAATGGGTCTCTCCTTAGGAAACAGGTTCGCCAGTATGGAAGCAAGATTTCACAAGTGTCATGAATGGACTGGAGTGGTAATGGCATTACAGTTGTTCCGTAAATCGAACAATCGGGGGTTGTGATTCCGACACAACCAAGAACAGGTTCTGCTGAGGGGTGCTAATACCAGTAAAATCTTCGTCACTTTTAGGCGCATCAGCCAGAATAACTACCCATAAAATGAAGAGGTCCCTTCAATCGAATATGATGTGTTTACGGGCCTTGAAACAAAAGGGTTTTCGTTAATTCTTCAGGTAAAGGACGGGTTTTGGATTTTCTTAGTTTGGGGAACGAGGCAGAGGAAGTTAAAGGAAAGAGGTCGCGACCAACAGAAATACCTTTGGTCGACTGATTACTATGGACTATGATGGGGAGTCGCCCGTCTGCGACAATCTAACACAGCGTCAGCGAAAGCAAATATCTATTCTGCTGAATATCCACACTCCAAAAGTTGGAACTGTCATATCGTATTTAAAAACTATTCATAACTGTATGTATACCAGTTGTCCATATTGACCGATGCCGACAACTCGATCTGTTGATGGAGAAATTCAGTAGCACGTGTAAATAGACGTCCAAAACCAGTACGATGCCGCCAACACAGAACCAGTTGTATATAAACAGAAGTTCTGGTATTGAACGGGTTGGCGTGGGCCGTTGGTACAACGAAACTAAACTAATCGTATTGGTTAATGTCACTTGGTACATCCAAGTCAGACGACCAGCATATAAGTAGTGTGAGACTGTTCGACCAAAGTGTCAGGAGGATTCGTTGATTCTGTCGACCAAGAGCATGAAAGGCTCGATCACATTGCTCCTTGAGTTGATACTGTTATGGGGCATTTTTGGCCAAGGTAAGTTTTGCGAATAGACAGTGCTATAAATGGTTATGATTGCTTGAGAATTAGGAAAATGGGTTATGAGTAAAGGTTGATTGAGAGACGAAATGAGACGTCAGAAAAATACGTCAGTACTGGCGCTGATATCTTTTTAATTTCCATCTCCAATTGCCAAAAGTTTCAAATGTATGGCATTGCCTGCACCACACTGAATAGCCAAGTATCCCTGCCATCCTTGTCCCTGCGAATAAGTACGCGGGATTTCTGTTCGACTTTTCGCTGAATGATTTTGTTCAGCATAATGTTGTATTCGAAAATGAATTGAAGGGTTTTCAGTAAAAGCGGAGAATCTAGTGTAGTTGTCTGGCTACCCAATAAGTTACTTTACCAGGAGTGGATGGCAAAGAAGTAAAAATAATTAAGCTAGATTGCGTATACAGTAATAAAGAGGTCAGATGGAACAGACTCACTAATAATCGTTCTCTTTAATATAGTTCGTCGTTGGCCCAGGTCAGCGAATAAACAATAATCCAATCATGGTTGTCCAGGGGTCTGTTTCTGAACAGTTCCCACATATAATAAATTCCGAAGATAGTCTGAAATGTTTTTATACCAGAGTTAGCACATGAGACGCGCGAATGACCGCTGTGGACGAAATCAAAAGAGAGAGTCGAAGCAGGTGACCACGTTTGTATTGCGTGAAATTGTACAAGTGCGCGTTTTTGTAGTTTTTCGTGTTCAAACAAAGAACGATTATGCAATCGACAAAATACGTAATGTTATAATGGAAGCAAAATAAAGGTACAAAACACCATACTAGCTTCAAACCTTTTTTTGTGATGCTCTTTCCTCTTGCGCACACCAAATACCCAAAGTGAATTGCATTTAGCACCCGTTTTTCTTATCTCGAAATAATACGGATGTACAAATGTTAAAATCCATCAGACATTTTTAAAAGTCCACATAAGTTTTTGGCGCCTATCTCTGTAAACCTCCGCCAAGGAATTTTGTGGAATAGCGTCTCTGAAGCAATGTCCACACGGCGTCCACTTGCAACCATTTTTGATCAAAAGTTTGACCTTGGGATATTCCAGTGTCTTATATAGTATGCATGAGATGTACAAAAAACCCCAGGGGGACCATTTTTGTAGAGATTTACTTACGTCTATCTAAACAAAATAATTCCTGCAATGTTGTAGAATTCCGGCTGCAAAGCGCGAGCTGGCCGACGCAGGGTGATAGGTAATTCCACTATCGTGGTTCCTTCAGTGTCAATAGAAATCAAACAGATATGAAATACCTCCACAACCTGTCTTGTGTCCCATCGGTCGTGGAATACATGAACTTGGTGCATCTGAAATCTGCTCCGCGATGATTCAGTGTCCCAGAATGGTCGGTACTGGCTGTGAACAACAAGTGTCCAATCATTGAGTGTCTGACCGTAAAAAGTTTTAGAACATCCATTAGTCGAAAATTTCCCTCAATACCAATAGAAACTGAACAGTCGTGTTATTCGTCTACCGTCGAGTAGAATGTCATACATTATGTCCCCATTAAGCTGAGTGTGAAGCGGAATGCAAATACTTGCTTCAAGATCAGGGTTTAGTATGGGCAGCCTCAAACTTTAAGTGATGATCTGTTAGTCAGAAAAAGTATAGATGAATCGGATCATTTGAAAATTGTATATTACTTTCTAAACCACCTGTCAAGCTATTTGATCAGTTCATCAGCGACAACAGCTTATGGCGATCTTAATTTCTCAGAAAAGCAGTAAAGCAAACTCGGGAGAGTAAATATTCTGTCTTTTTTGTGTGAAGTGACTTACTACACTAACATTTCTGGTCCTTTATTGTGCGGATAAAGCAACCTCCTAGTAGCTTGTACCTGACTTCTGAGACTATGGGTACACAAAGGGTGCCAAATTGTTGCAGTAGTTTGCAATGGCTACCTCGTTCCTCAATCTTGGTTGGCAGACTTCGCAACGCCATGCACTATGTGAGTCCCAACATCTCTTTATGCTAAAAAGTCCTTTTAACAAATTAGTTATGTCCACAGGATTAACCAGAAAGAACCAATCTTGCGGGTAGCTAACGCGCAAAACTAGAATTTCTTCGAGAAAATTCATCAATCGGTGAAAATTCCCAAACTTTGAGTAGACAGATTTCAAAACAGGTCGATTTTGTAGATAAGAGATGAATAATCCAATAGGACCGGTGCTCAAATGACAGAGCCACCAAAAGCTATCCAGACCTACTAGTAAGACCATCGAAAACTCTCACCCAATGAACTTTTTTGTGCCTCAGTCCACAGCTGAATGGTGCCCACTAAAACATGAGATCTCATGAAATGTAAAACAGCTAAGGTGACCCGGTGATAAATTACACATTAATTTGATATGCATGGTTCATTTAGACCACTTGTTTTTGCCACATCTTTTCATGGCCTACGGGTTGCAATTGAAGTGGAAAACATGGCTGGCTAAGCCGGGATTAGGACGTTATTGGTGAACCGGTCCAAGTACAAATAATGGCACTTTCAATAGTGTAAGCAACATGTCGAGTCACACAAATTTACTGCAATTTAGCGATTATTCACCCATTTGCAAACTAATTTGGTTTTTTGAGAGACTCACCTGGAACCCAGCTGAATCACTCGTTTCCAGGCAACTGAATGTACTGCACCAGGCCGCCTCAGGTTTCGGTCGCTACGATATCAAGATACATGTATATATTTGGGATGCACTACTCATAAGGTTGCTGAGGTCGACGGATTTTCAGCAACCTTATGAGTAGTGCATTACAAATATTTACTGTGATCGAATTGCTTAAGACAGAACAGGAGACCTTTTCAGCTAGCTCCTGAAAGCTATGATCATAAAATCCATCTCGTATGAACCGATTTGTCATTTTCTACTGTCATTAAAATTGCTTTTTGTCAACACCTGAAAACACTTGACATTAGGCGACTTTGCAAGGCCATTCATGTGGAACGGTGCATTAGCTTACAGCAGTTTTTTTCGTTTTGTCCACAAGGCACCAATGTACTAACCTTTTACCGAGTTAGTTTTAAATTTCCTTTCAACTTGGCACTACGAAATGTCCGCAGTAATTGCTGTGGTGCGCCAGAATTCGCAAAAGATCGTTCATTTCTGGGGGATTCTAAATACCTGACTCTATAAGTTGTTGGAGGACAACACACAAGTGGGCGTATAATTGCCAGGACTTGTATGAAGTTTGAACTAAAGACTGAAACCCAAAAACCTAGAAGGGAATTTTACAGATAATTTGCGCTACATGCGGTTTAGCTTTGAAATGAAACAATCCAGTTATAAAAGTAAGCACACACAATACACACACACACACTCAGTTCCATACCATTTGGGTTTCAATTAGGACCTCAATGAATCCCAGATGAAACTCTCGTCCATAAGATTCTTCAACAAAATATAGTGCACAGAAGTCGTCTCATGCATGAGTTGGAGCTTTATTCCAGAAATTAACAGTTTATGTTCCCGAGGAAACTACTCATAAGGTGACTGAAATCGCTTTGTGAGCCCATGATCGGGTTTCTCCCACTTGGATCTCTGCAGGTGGGCACATCTCCTGAGTTTCCTCAACAGTGTGTTCAAAATAAACTCAGATTGTACGAATTTTGTGAGACATAATCATTTCTACGCGAATTTTTCTTCAACGAGAGATTCAACTGAGTCTCTCAATCTATTTACCCTCAAAATAGTGTACTGCGATTTCTCAAATACTGTGCCAAACAGAACATAAGGAGGCCTTCATACGGCAGATTTAGCTGAAACGTATCTATAAGGAACGACTCGGGTGTTATTCAGTAAAGTCTCTCATAAAGCATGAATGTACTTAGCAAATTTTGAACAATTCGGGTTCAAGTGAAACTCGGGGACTGTGCCTGTCCGATGAGCTCGGCGAATGGTGGGCTGTCAAAGATTAATAGCCACCTTATGGATAGCGATGCGTTGAGAAAAAAAATGGAATACTTCCCAGATGTAGATCATGGATATGATCCTGAACCAGCAAAAGTACCATTGCATTGAACATAATATACTGCAGTCTTCCGCATGTTCGAAAATGTAAAAAACCCACCTTCTGACACTTTCTAAAAATATGTTGAACAAAATTAGCGCCAATATAATGATCTCTTATAATATGTAATTTCAGAACTTCGATTCGTTTGAGGATTGTTCATTTCTGTCCTGAATGCCTCCCGACGTCTTGCGTGGCTTTTCCGAAGCTTATTGGGGGGTTGACCAAAAGTACGGTACCCAAGAGAAATCTCTGAGTACACAGGTTTCAGTGGTTGGTTCAAAGGGGAACCGGATGCCGCGAAAAAAAACTTTGGAACGGAAGTTTAAAACGTCAAAGTACAACGTTGCCGACTATGATGGTATAATCCCAACGTTTCAGCTAACGGGAATAGCCTTTGCCGATAGCTTTTACGACACCTAACGCAGATCCCACAAGGTAGCAGAAAAGTTGGGAAGACAAACCTAACCCGGTGTTTTTCTTTCAACACCGTGTCACAGCTCTATTTTACAGTTGTTTTACAAGGAATACGAGTTCCTCTGTGATTTTATTTTGTTAAGAATTACGTGAAGTATTGTGGACTGAGGGTCTGAAGGTCTATTCTGAACAAGCCGTTTACTCAGAACCTGACAGAAGTATATCCACAAGTTACCATGCAAGGTAACCGGTCTTCAAACTTCCACAAAACACTTGGTTAGATTTCAAAATCGCCAAAAGATGTAAACTGATTATACCCTAAACGCAGTGATAGCCAGTTGGATAAATTCTCGCCCTCAAGTGTGGTCTCCTTCTCCCAGCGTTTTGTTAGGAGTCTGTCATAATTAGGAACGATTTGCAAATTTGGTTCATAGTCACACCACTCTCGTCTGGATCGTCCTCCAGTTCTGACGTAATTCTTCCAGCGAGTCCACACCAAACGGAGGCACTGGACTCGAGATTCGCTCTTATTAGAGCTCATCGGTAGTGCATATCGAATGGTCGTATCTAATCGGATTTGAACCCCTCACATCTGACATGCGAGGCCAGCGTTTAACCACTACTCCACCAACAACGCACGTTGGACGCATCTGAATTATCACTTCTGAACAGGCGAACGTGTTCACACTTGAGCGATGTGATTGGTGTGCCCGACTTATCGAACGACGACCCAGTAGCTCTCCTGGTTGTGACGATCGATTGACCCACCAGTCAGGACTTCACAGTTAGGTAGCCAATTGCTGGGAAACCACTAGATTTTTTCCTTGAGTTCGTTTCCATATTTTATCGATTCATCCGCCTTATGTGTATTTAGCCCTCCATTTAGAAATTTCTCAAACACTATCTACTTTATATGAACATAGTGTTCATCGTGCAAGCTAACTTGGTGGTCCTAAATAAACTCGTAGTTTGGTGAAATACATTCATCTGCAAATGAAGTTCGTCTCAACGGGAGATTCAACTTAATTACGACTATATTCAAGCTATGGTTGTATAGTTGCTTGATATGGCACGTCAGTCACATGGTCTGTGAAAACGGTTCGACAAACTACGACGGATCTCGTCTTTCTTGAAGTCCAACCGGTAGGCTCAGTCAAAGGTTTCCATCAGTCTTGTGTTCCATCTGAACATTACGAAGTTAGCGAGAAACGAAGAACAGAAGAGCTATCTACAAAGATAACTCCTCTGTACTGTTCTTCTACTCTTCTTCTAATCATAAGGTTGCTGAAAATCCGTCGACAGCCTGTTCCGCCTGAGAACATCACAAACGACAGATACAGCTGGGTTCCAGGTGAGTCTCTCGGACAACCAAATTAGTTTGCAAATGAGTGTATATTCGCTAACAGAAGAGTTAGTTCGGATATGGCTGAGTCTCCCACTGAGGTCGAACTGGTTTGCGAATGTGCGTATTTCGCAAACTGCGTTCCATTTAAGTTCAATCCGAAAATACGTCGACGATGACTCAGGGATTGCGCCCACGTAAGCATCGAATACGGTGGTGGGAATTCGAGGTTTTCAGTTACCTTATGGGCGTTCCGTTGAAAATTTTGGCATTTTGTTTCTCAAGCAAAGGTGAGAGAATCAGTTTTCTGCGTTGGTTTAGTCAGCATTACACCCAGCTGATAGGCCCGCTGTCGATGACTTCTCTTTTGTTTCATCTATCAGTTTACACAGTCAAATTATTTTGTGTTTGGAAAACGATGAGTTCATTGTGAGCGGCGAAATTCCTGGGCGCGTATTATGCAACTGCTTTGCCAGTAAGTATAACTAGACGGTCTTGCATGGAAACATGTTGCTACTTTTGATTTAGTAAGGGTATGTTTTTACTCCAGAAGAACTAATAAAATTTGGATAGATGTATGCTCAAAAATACTGATATTTTGCTTTCATATGCGTAGATGTCATCGGCTTTCTTTTGCTTTCGGATCTATCTTCACCCTGAACCATCCCCGGTACCTCGACTATCTCAGAGTCTACTCAGTCGCGCTTCAAAACGCTTTATACGGGTAAAAAAATTTCCCCCTTATTAGGGCAAAGCAGTGAATTACCACTTATCCAGTAAGCCAGTAATGATAAAAACGAGCGGCTTTGCAAATCTGAGTCACTCAAAAGGAACTTCCAGTGGAATAGTCGGATATAGTCATTTCATTTTTGAAATGGGCCTGTGTAGAACCCTCCAAAAATGGCAACTGAAAATAACGTCCTCCAATAAGCCATGATCACCGACCGCTGAAACAAGAGTTTAAGCTTAAATTGGTTTCAATGGGTAGTATCTTAAATAAAACCATAAAGGTGAACCGACCAGGTTATGTCCTGCCTTTTTGTTCTTTTTATTCTGCCATTCACTTCACGTTTTCATTAACATCGTCTCTCTTTTTTCCTGTGTGTGAGGATTGACAAATCCGCCCTTCAGTTTATGAAATATCTGTTCTGTGGCATTGACGATGGCATGCAAAAGCGAAGATCCAAATTACAGTTTTTTAAAGAACTCAAGAGAACGAATCCAAACCCACCGAGTTCATGATGGCGGCTTGTATTAATGTTCTACAGTTGATTACCGATGACCGAGATATTGATTCATCATCATCATCATCATCATCATCATCACCATCATTCTCCTCCTCCTCCTCCTCCTCCTCATCATCATCATCATCATCATCATCATCATCGACAGCATGATTTCAGTGTTGATGCTTCACTGCCGTACAACTACGATTCATTTGAAAGCCTTATTGTGAAGAGAGAGAATAAAGGTGGACGGACAAGGGACTTAGCGCTAGCTTACTATAATCATTCTGAGATGCCTCCGGATACTCAGCCAGACAACCTGCATAGAAACAGACAACAACAACGCCATCAACATCCATTGAATACCATATTTTGCTGTGTCTCTAATAAGGGGGATCACGCGGTTCCCATCCTGGCGTGTGAATAGCACTGACTGCTCCCAAACGTTCCGTAATCTCCTTCATGCCCCTCCGCTAGCCCACAGGTTGGCCATCATTCTGCTTCCGCCACTCTGAATTAGGAAACAGCACTCCTTGGCAAGCGATGGACAGGCATGCGCAACACATGTCCCAACCAACGTATCTTCTGGTGTTGGACCAATTCTTCAATGGATGTACCCGTTGCACAACGGAAAACTCGCTTCCTAACTGCCTCGTTACGAATTCGCCGACACCAAAACCACATGAGCTATGGTTCTGAGACAACGATTGTCGAACACCTGAAGACGTCTCAGGCCCGCTGCTCGAATAGGCCAAGTCTCACAGCCATACAAAAAAACAGCCAGTACTGTACCTTGATACACACGTCCCTTCAGATTCAGGGATACACCACTTTGACGCCATAGGTGTCTCAAATTGCAAACGCTACCCGAGCATTCACCTCATCTGTCACACTACAGTCAGAACTAATACACATTCCAAGATACGGAAAACGCTCCACAACTTCCAGTACCTCTCACTAGATTATAAGTGGCGTGCTCAGTGATTGCTTATTCAGGAGCATGATGCTACAGTTTGTTGATCCAGAAAGCAGAGTGTTGCCCTGACTGACCCCATTTGACCCATAAATGCCCGTTTTAGATGTCCTTCCTTTCTGTCTCTTTACATCATCTTGCATCCGTAACGTCTGAGGATGGTAAAAAAAAGCTTTAACAGAACGCAACTTGTTTTAGTTCTGACGTTACTAAGTGGATACAACGGATCAGGTTGCCAATTAAACGCGGGCAACATCAGAGGTCTGCATCGGAAAATAATACATGTATCGTTTGCGTAATTCAAAGTTCTGCTCTGCAATAACAGCATCTGTTAGGATACCCTGCGTCAGAATTTCATTCTTCGAATTAGATTATCATAACTCTGTCACATTTGTCAAATGGCATAAGGTTTATGAAAGCAATCCCTTCTGAGGTATCACAATGGTTGAACAAATTCTTTGAGAACTATATTTCACTATTTTTATCGGCAGAGTATAGCGTCAGTGGTTAGATTTCGGTTCATAGTTCAGTAATCTTCCGGTTCTGTCAACGTCTAACGTCGATGTCCTAGATTTCATGGAAGGCACGTCTGTCCCCGATGCAATGCTCCAAGTATTGCTAGGAAGCGCACAATGCCGAGTACGAATGTCCCTTATCTCTGCACTTAGGATACTTGTTTGTGAATTCCTTTCAGTTAAATGCGTGGATTCGACTATCACGTTGTGCATTCACTTGCAACCTGGTGATGTAACCGGTAATTATACGTTTCGAAACAGGCCCCAAAAATAAAAGTCCACATGAAGGCAGAGTGTCCGGATTTTATGCAAACCAGTTGTAATATCTTGATTACTTTACGCTGAAAAAAGTGCCGTAAAACATTTATTTTGTGCACGAAGCCAAAGTTTTAGCAGCCCTATGTTGCTCTGCTGTGGACCCACCATTGTTACGGGTTAATTCATGTGTGAGTGACCGTTTAGTGATATTGCAAACAGTCTGATTTAAACGCAGCAGTGGTCGCATTCTCTTAGCATTTTTGATACGGAATCGATATTTTCCCATCTTTAGCTAATACGGAGTCATTTTGGGATGAAAATGCAAGCAGTCGTAGGAAGGCCGTGGTGTACGATAATTCCATACGTCCAAATAAACAATCGCAATATACACTGTTTTAGTGGTCACGTGACTCAATCTGTCATTCTTCAGCTGTAACATCCTGAGAATGAAGTGACCGTGTTTGTGATAACAAGCTCAGATGACCGAACTCGTGACTTCCTTCCTGTCAAGCTTACTTCACTACCTGTATGACAGAACGGTAATGCAATTCTTTGCATGGAAAATTCCAATAACTCAGTGTTCACAACCGTCAAACTCGCAACCTGTGGTAATCTTGCGTCAGTCACAACCCTCTTCCTCTGTTCGTTCTTTGTCTTCAGGTACTGGACTGTCGTTGATAAGTGAGTCTGAACTCAGCTCCAATAAGTGTGCATTGGAAAGCTAGAATTCGCGTCCGCGCCTTGTGTCGATGCGGAACGCTACCGAGTGATCATGGATATATTTGTACTTTGTACTTTATCAACTATTCGCTCTATTCCTCAAACATTCCAATCTCTTATCATTACGTCTTTTGCTTTTTTATTTTGATTGTCATATCTGGGTTACCAAATCATGGATATGTTCCAAAAACACTGGCTGAACTCTTTGTAATGTACTACTCATAAGGTCGCTGGAAATCCGTCGACAGCCCACGACTGGTTTCGTCCTTCTTCGGGCTCATCAGGTAGGCGCAGTCCCCGGGTTTCCGTCAACCTTATGTTCTACTTGAAACCAAATTTCACGAAATTAGCGAATATACACTCATCTTCGAGAGACTCACCTGGAACCCAACTGAATCTTTCGTTTGTGATGTTCTCAGGTAACTGAATGTGCTGCACCAGGCCGCCTCATGTTTCAGTCACTACGATATTCGAGATAGCGCGATACATGTACATCTTTGTAATGTACTAATCATAAGGTTGCTGAAAACTCGTCGACGGTCCACGACCGGTTTCGCCCTTCCTGGGGCTGATTAGGTAGGTGCAGTCCCCGAGCTTCCGTCAACCGTATGTTCTACTTGAAATTGAATTGAACGAAATTAGCGGATAACACTCATTTGCAACTTAAATTGGTTTTGCGAACTCCCTCGTTACAGTTGAGCAATTACGGGACGACCGGTACGTTGCTGTGGGATTCCTTTTCGAAAACTATGTGCCTACAGATAGTCTGTCTTAGCTAATCCCCAGCTGTTGTGATTTCCACGCACTAGTCTAGAAGACCCTACCGGGATCAGACATCTGGCCGCATAAAAGTGTCGTACTGTATCTTCAAACGACTTGCCATGTTACACTGAAAACGTCTTCATGCTTTTGCAAGATGTGAGTGCATCTTAATGAGCAAATTGAGGTTAGCATTCATTGCAGGTAAACCGGTACCTGCTTTTCGGAGCACCGGGAGTGGATTGTCGGTTAAGGTGGAAGTTGCTAACAGAATTTTATCGGACCGACTTGCTTGCCATAAGACCACTTAATGAGAGATTTGGGCAATCGTTTGATGGGAGCGCAAATGGATTCGTAAGTCCTTTATATTAACCGACAATTAGTGAGTCACGATAGGCTGACGGAACAAATCGGTACGTGCGCTGTACTGATACTAGACAGCTCACAAATACACCCATCTCAAATAACCGTGGTGTACTGTATCTCTCCTTTAGGCTACTACAGGTGTTCAAGCATGACATAACCTGATTCTAGCTCGTGGACCACGCCTAGCAGATGAAATTGTAGAGGGATAAAACCGACAATTTGTCATTGAATGGCAATCAGCAACCTTATGAGTAGTATGCTACGTCAAAAAAGCACTTTGTAAGAGGCTGGTCATTCTGTTATATCTACCTAGTATCACGCTACCTATTAAAGTATGCAGAATATGGCTGATTACATATCTTAAATGCACCAATTTTTTGAAGTAGCAGAGCTTATTCCAACCCACCTGATATTCTGCTGGACTCCAAGTTACTTCCGAATGTGTTCTCAACGTTCGTAACAAGAATGCTTTAATGCTGTGCTTTGATCACTGTCACCTCTGCCGCTCACCAGATCCAGTATAAACAATTTTGGTGTACTTATGATTGTCATCTTTGGCGTGAGACACGGTGTATGGCGTATAACTGTCATGTGGTTGTTGACTTTTTAGTCCAGGTACTCTTGTGCCACCTCCGGCTATCACAATTTCATTGTTCTGTTGGTCCAGTGTACTCTCTACCGGTTTACAGAAATAAGTAGGCTATATGGGTACGGGACAGTGGAAGGTGGATCAATCCATCCAGCTGTTAGTCTTGAGAAACTTAAAGCTTAATCTCGAGTATGCGAATGGTGAAACGGTCTGCCAGAAATACACTTCAATAGACGTGGATGAACAAGTAAACTTTCATATATTCACCTTAATAGGATCTAAGCCGATTTTGCAAATAGAATATCTTGATAATGGAGAACTCAACTATAGATCCACAAATTTGGCGTTTAACTCCTCATGAGTATGCTAGAACACATCATTGTTTGAGAGAACGACATGCATCTAATCTTAAAAGAACTAACACGTGCCCCAGAAAACATACACCTATATGGGATGCTTCCTGAAAGATATCTTTGTTAGTCCAAAACGAAGAGGCACTTTTAAAATTTTTGGAAAACCATGAAGTCTGGGTTTTGTCAACGAGTGCACGTGAATTTTTGGAGTTTGATATACTCCACAATGTCTATATTAAATTCTTTTCGTGAGTGGATGGGAATCTTAAAGTGTCTCAATAGAATTTCGCAGATTAAGCTGCCCAGGAACGGCGTTCAGTCGTTACCTCATCCCTTGTTGAAGAGAAATCTGATCTGTAAATTCATATGTGAACACAAGAATCCCTGCCAAATCGTTTTAAGAATTTTTTATCGGTTTTTAACGTATCGGGTAAATCCTAACACGAATTTTACTCGTTGTGCAACAGAAAACGAGAACGATATTGGAATCCCAAACCAAAAGGAAGCAGCTTCTGATGGCTTCGAAAAAGATGGTGATGAATCGACTTTCCTGGCATCGGAATTCCCGGGTCATACCACTGATGAAGGTAAGACATACGAACTCTACACTTTATGTGTAATTAACTAGTGATTTCTTCTTTACTCATGCTTACAGATAATTACTGTTAGGAGAGCAGTTTGACATTTGCGGGTCGTGTCAATGATTCTTGAACATAAGAGAAACTCAAATTTTGTTTGTGATTCTTCCTCTAAAAAATCTGGTTGTTGATCAGGTGGCCTGTTCGCCGAGCTCGGTTTCGGATTGCAAACGCTTCATTGGCGTGCAAGCCGAACTACGTGCTTGACGAATAGATCAGCTGTCATCTGATCAGCAGCAAATTAACCCACTCAACATTCAGAGATGAACTGATCGAAAGTTATCTACGATCTTTTGAATAACTGTGCCTGTTCGGAAAGTCACATATCCTGCCGGCGTGCCTGATAATAACTGAGTCATCCACTTGGATCTGTTCCAAAGAATCTTCAGCCAAATGAGATCTCTCGTTTTCCGGACTTATCAGGTGGGTTTACAGTTGTAGAGCAATAGCCACTAAGATCTCAGTCACGGGATGTTACCCCAAGATTGCGCGTCGTCAATTATGTATCGTCCGGTAAACCTTTAGTTAAATCCAAGGCTTTCAGCGTTATAAGTATCAAACCTCTCGCTCAGGTCAGTATCCAGTCCAAAAACTTTCCAGCAAAATGAGAAAAGCACTTTACTGCGAAGTCGATTATTATTATTATTATTATTATTATTATTATTATTATAGGAACGAACTAAATGGCCACAAGCAATCGGACAAGAAAGTACACATCTTATCTGTACAGTTTTTGAAGACTAAACATTCCCGAAAGTTCTTTTGGACTTTCCTAAACGTTCATAGAAAAACGTACATTGCGAAACTGTAGTAATAACCTTTACCTGACATCCGATGCGGGGGTGGGGGCGGAGCATGGACAAGAGTTCATAGAGGACGTGTATGTTTCATCAGTAGTATGCACCATTACACCGGTAGTCAGATGACTATTCAAATTAATTACCAAGAACCACCTCCATAATCAAGCTCATCAGCTCCTGGGCGCATAGTTTAGAGGTAACAATCCACAAAAGGTAATCGAAGGAACACGTCAGATCCGTCAAGGTCCTTTCTAAAGATTTATGGCAAAGAATGTGTGTGTGTGGCTGACAGTTTCGACATAAGAACATGACTTCAACTTGATAGAAAATAAGGTCTATAAAAATGCAAATGAATAAAACCAGGCTGAAATCATTTGGGACTTATTGACTCACGTTCGGGGTAGGGTCTCCACTAGACAGCATGCATAGATAGAGCATAGCTCCAAAAGGCACACAATTATCCGGTTCCATTTTTATGAGATGTCAAAATCAAAGTAGATCAGAAGCATCACCATTATAAAAAATTCCCTGAGCAACCCATTATACAAATTCTAATCATTTGTGCTCCTTTTACATACGGCTAAACTGTATTTACCTGCAGTTTTAGCTATTTTTCGTCTCCAGGTTACAGATATAACAAACATAAAAATTCACGACCAATTCGGATCGTTTTCTAGAATGGAGCATATGAAGAAAAGAACATAATCATAGCCGTATGGACCGTTCGGGGAACACGGATATTGGATCTTATTCCAACTGATTAGAGCGCGAATTTTCTGCCGGAAGGTCCTTGGTTCGAACCCGACCTCTGCCTCTCGACTTCCTCTGTCTTGGCTTGGGCGACCTGGCAGGATCCCAGCTCTCGTGCTTCCTCCTGGTTGCATAGCAGCTAGGCACCGAAATGGTGCCACAGTTGAACAATTTCGATTTTTCATGGATCTCAGATATCAAAGAACATCTAGAGCACACATGAGCTCTTGTAATTGGTGTAATTCTTTGGCAAAGGTTTTCCACACAACTTTAAACGGTGATTCTTTCCCAAATGTTTATGTATCTTCCCAGACCCATCTAACTTTGACGTATGTAATTTGCCTATGANTGTACAGTTTTTGAAGACTAAACATTCCCGAAAGTTCTTTTGGACTTTCCTAAACGTTCATAGAAAAACGTACATTGCGAAACTGTAGTAATAACCTTTACCTGACATCCGATGCGGGGATGGGGGCGGAGCATGGACAAGAGTTCATAGACGACGTGTATGTTTCATCAGTAGTATGCACCATTACACCGGTAGTCAGATGACTATTCAAATTAATTACCAAGAATCACCTCCATAATCAAACTCATCAGCTCCTGGGCGCATAGTTTAGAGGTAACAATCCACAAAAGGTAATCGAAGGAACACGTCAGATCCGTCAAGGTCCTTTCTAAAGATTTATGGCAAAGAATGTGTGTGTGTGGCTGACAGTTTCGACATAAGAACATGACTTCAACTTGATAGAAAATAAGGTCTATAAAAATGCAAATGAATAAAACCAGGCTGAAATCATTTGGGACTTATTGACTCACGTTCGGGGTAGGGTCTCCACTAGACAGCATGCATAGATAGAGCATAGCTCCAAAAGGCACACAATTATCCGGTTCCATTTTTATGAGATGTCAAAATCAAAGTAGATCAGAAGCATCACCATTATAAAAAATTCCCTGAGCAACCCATTATACAAATTCTAATCATTTGTGCTCCTTTTACATACGGCTAAACTGTATTTACCTGCAGTTTTAGCTATTTTTCGTCTCCAGGTTACAGATATAACAAACATAAAAATTCACGACCAATTCGGATCGTTTTCTAGAATGGAGCATATGAAGAAAAGAACATAATCATAGCCGTATGGACCGTTCGGGGAACACGGATATTGGATCTTATTCCAACTGATTAGAGCGCGAATTTTCTGCCGGAAGGTCCTTGGTTCGAACCCGACCTCTGCCTCTCGACTTCCTCTGTCTTGGCTTGGGCGACCTGGCAGTATCCCAGCTCTCGTGCTTCCTCCTGGTTGCATAGCAGCTAGGCACCGAAATGGTGCCACAGTTGAACAATTTCGATTTTTCATGGATCTCAGATATCAAAGAACATCTAGAGCACACATGAGCTCTTGTAATTGGTGTAATTCTTTGGCAAAGGTTTTCCACACAACTTTAAACGGTGATTCTTTCCCAAATGTTTATGTATCTTCCCAGACCCATCTAACTTTGACGTATGTAGTTTGCCTATGAGTTTTCCCATCTTTTCTTCACACGTTCGTTTATCAGATACTCAGGAACCTACCAGTGCTGCGGATGTAACCGAGTCGCATCCAACTGTTTTACAGGAGGCTGAGGAGAACGGCCCAAGCCAAGGAGAAAGCCCCAGTGACCAGCTTCAAGATGGTGAACGTAAGTGATCAAACATATGGTGCGTGGTTCATATCCTCAGCAAAGCAGCTGGCCGTTCCCCATTTAACAGTAACATATATAGGGCTCTGATGAGGTAACATTGGTTAGTTTGTTTCCTGTGTACTTTGGACGACGTGCGGGATAATTTTGTTCAGTAACCTGCGCTTTCGGCTAGTTTGAAAATACATCTTGATGGGCACAACGACACTGGGAATTCTGCAGTCCAGTCTTGAGGCCTGATCCGCTGATTCGGTACCTGCATAAAATCTACACCACTGGCGTAAGTCATTTAACTGTTCCTCCAACTTTTCATGTATCAGAACCTAGAAACGTCGCGTTAGATTAAACTTTAATTTCAAACGTTTAGCAAGAACTGTTTAGAGAACTGAGCACACGTACGAACAAACTACCAAAAAAATGGACTTATTCGGTGATTTTCTCCTTGCATAGACTCCCCACCATTCGCGTATGTCATTCAAATGTTTCTCCAAATTTGTTTGTTTCAGATATAGCCTTGAGTGTGACCACACTTAGGCAGTTATCCACTGATTTCGTTTGCACTTTGAGGAGTGTAAATTAGTCTGGTCCCACCTGTGTCTTGTCAATTAAAAAGCAGCATATCCTACAAATTAACGTCAGTTGGGATTATGGAGTCGGTGATTAGGTCGTGTTCTCATTGCGTCCTTCTCAGACCGAGCAGACGTGTGCGTTGTGGCAGTATCACCAGCGCGCAGTTCCACTCCGCTACACAACAACGCATCGAGGAATCCACAACGATGAGCAACGAAACAGTTGCAAAAAATTTCGCCGACCTAAATGGACATTTCAACCACCAATCTTATCGTTGGTTTGCCTGAATAAACAAACGAAAGTTTAGCATTTGAGCCGCCAGCACAAGCGTTATGTTCTCATTATTTTGTCTTAGACACAACTGAAAATGTGCCGGCATCTCAAGGAACTGAAGAAGATTCAAGCACTGTTCACCAGACGGAAGTTGTCAGTCCAATCCAAGAAGAGGATTCAACCGTCCATGTTGAGGCTGACCAAGGTAAGCAAGGTAAATAGTGCTCGAATACTAATCGTGAGGTGGCCTCATCAAGCATTCAATATCTAGACATATGGCCAACAAATTCTGGCTTTCTAATCCGTTTTCCGGGTAGTTAGCTAAGATTTTGTGGCTATCAAAATTATAGCTGGCCACCAGCAAAGGATAGTTTGCGGATGTACTACTTTTTCATGCGTCAGTAGGATATAAGTCCATCAGATTTAAGTAAATGTAACAGTTGTCGTCAATCTGTACCGCGTCATTTCATCAAGGTTCCAAGTGATGTCCTTCATAATTTAGTTGACTCTGTTTTGGACAATACGACACTTTATGTGGAGGTCCTTTTTATATACATTGCTGTAATCTTGGCGCCATTCGGAGCTCTGAAGTATCGAGGAGTTCCACAGCCTCCATTTCAGAAGGCTGTCATGTTTATTCCTCTATATATATCAAGACCGATCGGTGTGAATGTTACAAACGGCTTCTGTTCATTTTTGTGAATATTTGGTCCTGAGGACTTCTAGCACGTTTTTGACCTAACTCACATTTGTATAGCACCACATCTCGATGCCCCCAAGTTCTTGCTTATTTTTCATGCGACAATGTGGAGGCCAAAGATAATTGATTTTTTCGCCAGCCCACATCCATCCTCTAGAGTTTATCTTAAAAGCGCTCCATTATCCTTCAGAATAGTACAAACTATGGATAGTTCAGTTCAAGTTCAATTCCTATGTATTACCTCCGAAATAGTGAGTTTCCCCTCGGTAAACGGCATTCTATCATCTCAGGTAATTAAATGTACGGCAAATTTGTAGTGCATCACTGCAATCACAAAGGCATTTGAGGCATGGTACTTCCAATGAAGTAACCAAGAAAACATCAATCTCGGGTGTAGAACAAATCATTTTACAACAAAGTTGAAGCTATCAGTATACAGAGGAAGATGGAAAACCTCGATCAATTCGATGCATGGAGATTGGAGTAAAACTGTTTTGCCACTTGCGGTATTTACTAATTAAGATAGTTGTTTCTTGAACAAAACTATTCAAAAGTTTGCTCGGAACTCTTCGACGGCTCATGACTAGTTTAGGTCTTCCTGTTTTATCCTTACACATGCTTCAGTATACTTCGAAATGAGGTAAAATCTTGGTAGCTGAGCTGTGCAGTTTGATTGCAAACGTTTCCTCACCAATCTAGTTGACATCATCAGTGCGCTATTGAGGAGCGTAGTGGTGCTTAGCGGTGCGGTGGGTTATGTCTTCACAATCATACTTTGACATACTGAAAGACCAAATGAAAATTCGGAAAGCGTGGTTGCAGCACACACTGCTGAAAACTACCCCAAAAATGTTCCATCGAGTCTCTTGGTAAAAACGAACCGGTGCGTCAATGATTGTCTCACCAGCTGCTTGAAGTTTAGTCTTGAATAGCACATAAAGCTTAGAAGTGCGTCTACTTGATGAGCCCTGAAGAGAAGGAAGATGAAGATGAAGATGAATATCTTGAGAGATCTCAAATATCGTACCTGAAAGACGTGGTGCCTTTATGTGGCATATTCAAGAACGAAAGATTCAGTTGGGTCTCCCTTTGCAACCAGATTTGTGTGCAAATTAGTGTATTTCTTGAACAGGTTAGTTAAATCTGTAGAAGTTTAAAACAAGACGGCCTAATAAAATTCCGTCGACAAATGCTTGCTTCTTGTTGCGATTCAAAAGATGGCTTACCTTCTAGATATTCAAATGTAGGCTGCGTTGAAGAGATCTTGGGGTTCATAGTAACTGCCTGCGTTCAAATATATGCTGCGTTAAGAGAGAGACAAACCTCTTCACTACAAGCTCTGACGACGACTGCTCTGGAACTGCCGCGTGGGAATGAACCTGGAGTTCAAACGTTTAACAAGTATTGTCTAGATAACTGAGCGCACGTACGACCAAAATACAGAAAAAAAAGTTACCTTCGGATTTCGCCACAGGAAATTCTACAGTCCACGTTTGAGACCTCATCCGACGAATTTATCCCTGCATAAACTCTACAGCATTCGCGTATGTCATTCAAGTGTTTCTCCAAATTTGTTTGTGCCAGATATAGCCTTTATCGTGACCGTACTAGGCTGGTATCCATTGATTTCTTTTGCACCCTGAGGAATTTAAATTCATCTGATCCCACCTGTGTCTTGTCAAATGAAGACCAGCATATCCTACAAGTGAATGTCATTTGGGTTTATTCAGTCAGTGATAAGGTCGTGTTCTCACAGTGTTCTTGTGAGCCGAAGACGCGTGCGTTGTGGCAGTATCACCAGCGCGGAGTTCCGCTCTGCTACACATCAAGGCAACGAGGGTTCCACAACGGTTAGCAGCGAAACATTTGCAAAAATTCACACATCTCAGTATAAATTTTGAGCACCAATCTTATCGTTAGCATGCCTGAATATCCAAACGAAAGTTTAGCATTTGAGCCGCCAGCACAAGCGTTATGTTCTCATTATTTTGTCTTAGACACAACTGAAAATGTGCCGGCATCTCAAGGAACTGAAGAAGATTCAAGCACTGTTCACCAGACGGAAGTTGTCAGTCCAATCCAAGAAGAGGATTCAACCGTCCATGTTGAGGTTGACCAAGGTAATCAATTTAACTATTTCTCAAATACTAATCTTGATCTGGCCATCAAGAGTTGATTTGGGAACATTGTGTTTCATGTTCATCACGAAGGAATGTGTCATAATGGTTTTTCGGTGTCTTTCTTTATCCTTACTTTTAAACATTTCGCTTAAGAAATACCAGGGTGGGTTTTGCTGCCAAAATGACAAAACGCAATGATTTAGATGGTCTTCTTCAATTGGTCTCCCGAAAATCATGAGTTGTTTGGACTAAAGCGGGTAAATGGGACTAAATGGGTTCTTTCAGATGATGAGCGAATCGTCCTCCTATGTGGTGGCTCCAGGAGTTTCACATCCAAAACTCTTTCCTCCGAAGGAAAACAAAGCATGTAGGTTTGCTTTTCCCAGTAGGCAGTCCTCTTTAGATCGGACCATACTGTGGGTCACATCGGATGAAGAACACCAATGGTGAACGAGCTTTTTGAACGCTTTATTTACAAACGTTTTGTTCGGTTGGAGCACTTTCCGTGCCGTCGTGGCTGGAACAATGCTTATATCCTTTTCACTTCAGCATTATTTGGGGTCCTCGGTTACTCTGGGTGTAGCTTCCTATTTGTCAGCAAGAAACCACAAGTGACAAGTTTATACCAGAACCGATATCTGTTGTGGTGAGAGAATCCTTTTGGTGTAGCAAAGAGACAAAACTGTCCTCCTTGATTTGGCCAGTAACGGAACTTATTCTTACGCAGAATGAAAGTGAGAGGCGATTTTCTATTCATAGCATAATGGTAAATGGCAGTCGCCATTGACAATGGGACCGATTCTAATCTGGACAGAATATGTTTAACCTTTCTACGCAATTTGTCTTGTATGATCCAACAACAGAATCTGATGCATATCGGATCGGTGAAGAATCTTCAACAGAAACACAAAATTTGTTCAACCTAAAAGACCCTTGTGCTCTTCAAAGCAAAGTAATCTCAAAAGGAGAAGTCATCACCAATCTAACGAGAGTTTTTTCTAGGGGTTCATACCCTAGATGACACCGTTTAACTTGCGAAAAACCCCGAGTTATTGTCGCTTTATCCGTGAAACCACTGTGAAATAGAAATGCGTTTTACATTGAGAGTTTTACATACACCCAGCAGACAAGTCTGCTTCTGGAGCACTCTTGTATTTTCTTTGTAATTTACTTAAGATTCTGGTAAATGGCATACGTTGCATCCATGTTAATCGGCCTCTCTGAAAATAACACTTGCATGTGACGCTGGAAAAACCGAATTGGTTAAGGGCACTATGGTGAGATAAATTAGGCCGTTTCGAGTTACACGTGAGACTACGCATGTCCAATAACTAAGCAAACTGTAGTATCTTTTGAGAAGCTGTTAGCACACTTTTATGCCTGTTGCCGGTTTGTTCGGCGAACCGGACAGTTAGAGTGCGAAATCTACTTTACCAGGTTAGGGGCCATCAACTGTTCATTGCTGTTGTGCCAAGCGTTGAGGTGCAGTACGTGAAACGAGTGGTTTGCTGGCTCATGAAATCGTGTCCCGATTGGTTAGCGTCTTAGGCCTTACTATCTTCGTTTCCGTTTGTGGGAACTCGGACAAGCCTCAAATTGGCCAGTAACACCAAATTAGAGTGCGAAATCTACTTTACCAGGTTAGGGGCCATCAACTGTTCATTGCTGTTGTGCCAAGCGGTGAGGTGCAGTACGTGAAACGAGTGGTTTGCTGGCTCATGAAATCGTGTCCCGATTGGTTAGCGTCTTAGGCCTTACTATCTTCGTTTCCGTTTGTGGGAACTCGGACAAGCCTCAAATTGGCCAGTAACACCAAATCCTCAAATAGTCATCCCCACTAGCGCACGTGTCTTACCGCTCTGTTTGCAAAATGACACACTGATGTTCTTATCCCAACTGGTGATACTGCGTTTGCTATCCGGATCAGTGAGCATGTCATTATCCAGCGTTACACTCTAAGCCACTAGTAACCCATCCACTGACGAAAACCCTAATGACGTTTTTTGCTTGTGTAGTACCACGTCCTCAGGAACATTCCCTTTTGATTCAAATTCTCTTATGGTAATGCAGAACTATAGAAGAATCAAGCCCATACCATTTTCCTGTGTATTTTCAGGAACTGTGACGTTTAAAGAATTTACATCAGTCTCTTTTGAACTACCCTCTTGCCGTCCCAAAGTAACTCTAATGATAATCCATGCCAAAGGCGGATAGTTCAGAGCGCAGGCTTCGCTCCTATTGGAGATCATCGGTAGTGTGTAATCTAGGACATACCACTACTCCATCACAGCATGCCGTCACACCTGGATAGTCACACTGTCTGAACAGGTGGACACATCCACGCTTGTGCATTGTGTTTGTTCTGTACGATGCCTTGAACGACGCGTGATCTTTTAGATCGATTGACCCACCTGTCATGACTTCAAAGATGGTTAGCTCCAAGGAAAGTTTGGAACTCGCTGCACGATTTTCCAAGTGGCTGTTGATGTTACGAAGGTTTCTGAACTCACATTGAGTTTGGTTTGAAAATGATACCGAAACCAGTAAGGCTAGAAACCGCTCGATCCCTGACCCAAACATGCTTTGTAGACTGTTGTCGTTACAAATGAGGCGCTTCAACCAGTACTATGGTGCCATAATCGGGAGAGGACTAAACAGTCCTTCCTATCCGTCACTTCAGCGTATCGGTGCATGAGGATTTATCCACTGAATTGGCCGGAATGGCTTCACTCGAGAACGGCTGCCGTCAAATAAGGCTGGTTGGACCGCTCTCCGTGGTTGTCCCTGTTTGGGAAGGCGAGTTACTTATCGGTTTCGTCAGCGTCCTGTATTCGATGTGGTCAGCAATTTGTCCACCTTAGACTTAGCCCGCATTCCATGTAACATACGATCGCAATTTACTTGAGATGGACAGTCACATTTAGCAGACTCAAGTATCCACAGGCTTAACACAATTTGTGGGCCCCTAAAATCGCTGTCCAGAGAATATGAACTGAGCAGTGAAGCTTCGCGAGAACCACTAACCAAATCACATAGTCATATTGGTGACTACGGATTTATTTACTAGAAAACACCAACTGAACGGTTACAGACTATTGGACAGGAAAACAAAACTTTCATATGCATCTTGTTTATAATTACTTAATAAGCGTTTTCTTCTTCAACACTTCTTCCTGAACTTTCCTGGATATTCATTGACTATCACTCAAATGTGAACAAAAGCTACAAAGCAATTCCGCAAATTCCGTAATAAATCTCACTCTCCAACGGACGCGAAGCGGAGTTACGCCAAAATATATTACTCGCATGCCTCATCAGTAGTATCCACGGCTACACCTGTAGCAAATAAAGAGGGATATCTCAGAAATAAAGTACTTGAGGGTGGTAATCTCGGTTATTTAGTAATGTATTATTAGTCATATTCTGAACACTTCACCCAAACTACCAAACACATACAACCACCGAAGATCTTCTCTGACTGGTTTCTCAAATTTGGAAATTTACTGGTTGGTCGCATTGTCCCCCTTTATACTCCCTCGTTTTACAAACAAAGTTCTTCTGACTGAGTGTAAACCACTGTCAACCTCTATTGATCCAACTTCAGCAGAAAACAAAAGTGG